AGTGGTTGGAGTAGGGGGGTGGGAGGGAGCCAGGACTCCTGGGTTCTATCCCTGGCTCTGGGCAGGAAGTGAGGTCTAGTGGTTGGAGTAGGGGGGTGGGAGGGAGCCAGGACTCCTGGGTTCTATCCCTGGCTCTGGGCAGGAAGTGAGGTCTAGTGGTTGGAGTAGGGGGGTGGGAGGGAGCCAGGACTCCTGAGTTCTATTCCTGGTTCTGCGCAGGAAGTGAGGTCTAGTGGTTGGAGTAGGGGGATGGGAGGGAGCCAGGACTCCTGGGTTCTCTCCCTGGTTCTGGGCAGGAAGTGAGGTCTAGTGGTTGGAGCAGGGGGGGTGGGAGGGAGCCAGGACTCCTGGGTTCTATCCCTGGCTCTGGGAGGGGACTGGGGTCTATTGGGTTAGGGCAGGCGAGGCTGGTAGCCCTATAGGCGCCTTCTAACAGTTGCTCATCTTCCAGTGCTCCCTACCACTTTCCTGAGGCGACACCCGAGGGTTCAGACATCAGTTAGGCATCCGCTGTCGTCAGCAGTTCCAGAGTCACGGGTATCAACCGCTGCCCAGCAGCTGCAAGGAGTCGCTCGCTTCACAAGCCAGCCTGGAGTAGGGTTGCCAACCCTCCGGGAGTCACCAGGAATTAAAGCTCAGTCTTTAATCAAAGATTATGTCGGGTGGTGGAACCTCCAGGAATACGTGCAGCCCAAACTGGCAACCCTAACCTGGAGTGAATCCCTTACTGGCGTACCAAACGCTCACGGTCATTTCCCAGCCATAGAACTGGTCTTGCCGAGTCCCACCTTAGCGCAGTGGGGGATTAACGCATGGGCCCACAGGGGCCTCGGCCAAGTTGGGGCCCCCGCCAGAGTGCCAGGACCTGTGTAGAAGTAGGGGGCCACCAGCGCCAGGACTGTGGCCCTGCCCCCTGCTCCTCCTCTTCTTCCAAGGCCCCTAGGGCCCTGCCCCATGGCCAGGCCGGAAGCCAGGCCGGGGCTGCAGTAAGAGCTGTCTAGGGAGTCCAGGCCACTGTGGGGAGCCCCAGATGCTCCACCTGCCCTGGGCCAGGGGACTGGGCCCCTGAAAGCAGCCCCCAGCCCTTGTCCCCGCCCCCCAGGGTGCACCACCCAGGGCAGGTAGAGGGTCCGGGGCTCCCTGGGCAGTTCTTACTGTGGCCCAGGTCCAACTTCCAGCCTGGCCAGGGGGTGGGGTCTTGGGGGGGAAGAGGAGAAACAGGGGGTGGGGCAAGTGAGGTATGGGGGGCCCAAATGTTCTTTGTGCCCAGGACCCCAATAAATCTCAATCTGCCTCTGATAGGATCTGGGGGACCCTGCTGGGAAGGAATCTGATGGGATGGCTAGGTAAAGGGGAGCTGACCTGCTGGGAGTTCCCCTTAAGGGCTCAGAAAGGACAGTGGTTAGAGCACTAGCTTTCCATTCCCTGCGCCATCACTGGCAGGGGGGCAGGCTCATTGCCCCAATGAAACATCCTCCCACCGGCGCAGAGAAGGATCCCTCGGTTTGACAATGCTCCTATCCAAGTTGCCAGGCCAGAGAGGAAGAGATGGGCATGACCATTCCAGCTCCACCCACCCAATAAGCCCCGCCCACATACAGAACCAAAACGGGGGGCGGTCACACTCGATTTTGCTGATGCTCAAAATAACGCTCTCCTTAGGCTTGGTTAGAATGTGCCATGGGGCATGCTGGGCTACTTGGGACAAGGCCCAGATCCTCCACAGTGTTAGGAGCCTAATTCCCATGGATCCCAATGGTACTTAGGGGCGGAACTGCCATAGAAATCAAAGGTATTTACATACCTAACTTTCATAGAAAGCAAAGTATTTAGGTGCCTAACTCCCCTAGGCATCAAAGTGTAGGTACCTAATTACTACTTCTGTATGATTACACATGGGCAAATCATGGGGTTTTCAGTCTGCCGGCAATTTCGTAAAGTTGGGATGGGGGAGGAATTGT